GTGGGTAAAACCTGCAGGGCCCAGGAACTGCAGCTGCTGAGAGAATTTCTGATTTTGGTATACAGCAGCACACACAGGCTCCAAATCCTGGAAGGCCTTTTTGTCTATTTCTCTGGAAATTGCTTGGCCTTTTCCTCTCCTGCAGGATGATTCTGGACATCAGTGTTGTCCTTTAGTCACAGAAATTTCCCAACAAAGCCCCTGATCGCTTGACAATAATTTTTGTGCCAGCACTCAGCAGCACAGAAAGGAAAGTAGCTTGTTTTTTGGTGTTTTTTAAGACAATTGATTTTAAAACAAAGCAGCAGGAAGGGAAGTTTCAGTTCCTGCACATGAGGAGCTTCAGGGGCTCAGCAGTGACAAATGCCTGGGCTGGCTCTGCAGCTGCCCTGCACGTGGAGCCAGAAGGCTCCTTATCTGTTCAGACCTGAATAAGGTTTGTACAACAAGCTGGGGCAGTGGCAGGTGCTGATTGAACATCAACACTTGAGTCTCTGCTGGTTTAGTACCAATACTCTGCTCTGCAGAACTGGGGTCTAAGTGAAAGTGAAAAAGATTACTTTCATTTTGGGCAGGTCAGTGGCTGCCACAGCTGGGCTTGAAAGCTGCAGATTTCTGCTAAATCTGAATTTGTGTGAAATTGTGCTCATTTCAACCAGAGGCTGTGAGGGCTCCCACGTGTGGGATGAGCACAGAGCCAGGGATATTCTGCCTGGTTTTAGGGCTTGGGGAAGGGGCAGGATGGGCTGGGCTCTGTGAGGAGGAGGGCTGGGAACACGACCCTCACTGGACTGTGCTGCTGTCATTGAGTGCAGCAGGATGCTGCTTATCTGGTTGTTTTTCCTTATATCTCTACTGCATGTTGTCTCCTTCTTGGTGCCAAAAGGTTGCTCAGAGCTGATCCTGCCACCTTCTAATCCATAAAAAGTCCTGGTCAGACTCTTTGATTCACTTGCTTTGAGGTCATGAAGCTGCTTGGGGTGACACCAACAAAGGGCAGGTGACGTCTCAGCTGCCTCAGTTTCCCCAGATCCCTCTTACAGTGGCCCAGGGATGGATAAAACCCCACTGTGGGATGGATAAAATCCTCCCCACAGCTCCCCACTGTGCCCCTGGGGGAGGTGGCCCCAGGCCAGGCAGCGCTGCCAACGAGGACAGTTGGCTGTACTCCCCTGAGATGTGACACCTCCACCCCCAGAACAGGAGTTTGGGGTTTTTTTTCCCTACAAAAGAAGCCTTGAGGAGGAAGCCATGGCCTGCTCTCAGCTGTTCTGACTGGTGCAGTGTGCCCCCACCCTTCCCCATCACCCACGGGCATTATTTTTAGGGTTTGTTTACCTCACTGGGCTCCAGCTCATTCTTTTTTAGGGTGACAAGGACTTCCCTCACGCAGCTGCCCAGGTGGCACGTGAGAAACCACAGCCCTGCCTGGAGAACTTTCCCCTTCTCTAATGAGGGCCAGGTTTTTTATTGGCTTTTTAAAGAAGATTTGGAGCCGTGGAAGGAAATAGGCAGCTCTTGCTGGTGAAAGGTACTAAAATAGATTAAATCCACCCAAGCAATACACTCTTCTTTTTTGGTAACACGTTCTGTGTGACTTGGCTGCAGTATTTGTGGCCCAAGTTGTGATTTTGTGTTGTTGCTTGGTGGGTTAAGTTTTACTGGTTTAAGTTAGGGCTTCAAGGTAGTGTCTGCTTTCTTAATCAAGAAAGTTCCTGAACATAAAGAGTTTGGCCCACAGTCACCTCAGAGGAGCAGGGGAATGGTTAAAATGCTGAGGACCTCTGCAGATCCCCAGTTCTTGCTCCAAAACCGCTCAACCTTGTGCACAAAGGAGCTCTTGGGCAGCTGAGCACCTCTGTGGTGAGACCCAGTGTTTATTTAAGGATCCCTGGGTTTGAGGTTCTGCATCTAAAGCTGTGTTGTGCTGCTGTTGAGATGCTTCTTGAGACTCCGGGCCAGATGCTGAAACTCACCTTGTCCTTTCTCTTTTGGGAGAAAACGTGAGACTTTCAGCACTCAGTGAAAGCAGAAATGAGCCTTAGCCCTGGCACTTGGTGTCAGGCTTCTGTCTCCTCATGTTCTTTGAGCTTCTTCCTCTTTGATTCCTTGATTCTTTGTAATTTGTGGTTACAATTACAAGGCACTTTTTGTGAAGGATATGGGTCCCCCCTCGCTCCCCCCTGTGTGCTTTGAGGCACAGATTAACCGGGGAGGCCAGGCAGGAGCACTGTGGTCATTGTTTTACTTGCAATTCCTACTCTCACCCTGGATGTGGCTGGGGGTTATTGTGCCCAGAGCTGCTGCCTCTCTCCTGAGCAATTCCCACAGGAATGTGGTGGTTTATTACCGTATTTTAATTAAATGTGAACAATAAAATGCTACAGCTCAAAGAATTTTCACTTAAAGGTTGGTGAGTGGCCATTAGGTACATGCAGCTGTGGAGCAGCATCAAGACACATGGGTTAATAGTTAAAATAAAATCTCCTTAATGTGCTGCTGACTTGTTTCTTTTATAATCCATCTGCTGACTTGTTTCTTTTAGAGTCCATCAGCAGATGAAGTAAACCAACATTTTTCTGTTTCGTTTATTTTCCACGCTCTCTTTCCTGCAGGGCAGCACTGGGATGAAGCTGAGCTGATCAAACAGCTCCTTACAGGACAGGAGGATTGACAAGGACTGGACAAGGATGGAGAAAATGCAATGGAAAACCAGAAGCATTTTGTTTAAATCGTTATAATTTATTTTTCTCAAGTAGCAAAATACAGTCAGTTTTCAGATATCAGTGGGGAACCTCAGGTTGGGATCTTAGGCCAACGTTAACATGACTCATCTAAATGAGATGCAAATTTGTTCTGTCCGTTAAATTTAACCAGGGAAAGCCAGGCACTCTGACATCACCCCTGCCTCACTGAGGCACAGCTGCACTGTCCCAGAGGGTGCCTCTGCATCTCATTTCTGATGTGTGTGATCCCATTTGGAATTCATCTGCTCTGTAAGGACCTGAAGACTTCTTCATTTGGAGGGGAATGGCTTTTGTCTACAGGACACAAGTGCAGCTCCCTGTGCTGGTGGAGCAGTTTCCTGGCTGGAATAAGGTGAATAAAGGTTCTGCATGAAAAGGCTCCATGGAAGCAGAGTGTTCTCGGGGTACATTCATGAACAAGTTGAACTTTGTCTGTGTAAAGCAGCTTTACATATTGAATATACATTAACAATATATTGTTACTGATGAGGGGAACTGCAAATACCCTGTGCTGGGGGTGTCCCTGGCTCTGGCCAAGATCATGACAGCTGTGTCTTGCCCAAATAAGGATGAGAAAGAAACCAAGGGCAAATAGCTGTTCAGTGTCTGTTGTCACCCCCTGTTTCATGTGACAGACAAGCAGCACTTCTGTACAGTTACCTGGGCACTGTAAATGAAAATTTGTTCAACAGTTGAGCACAGATAGGTAACACAAAGAATCCTCTCTTCCCAAATCCCAGCCCCTGACAAAAATCCCATATACCAGAGGTAAATGGTTTATGGAGAATTTATTTAGATTTGGTGGCAGCCAGGTAAATTCCTGGCAGTGCTGTCTCAGACCCAGCCAGTGAATTCTGTCTTGGGAGTTTAACCCTCAACTCTCTAAAGCAATGCTCTCCAACCCATGAACCTGAGAGTTCTCTGTGTCACTCCTGATGGATCCATGTGTTGAAAAAAAGGATAAATGTCTGTTTAGTGAGTGTTTTGCTGCTCGTGGCTCTGTGTGTTCAGGGGAACATGGACAGGTCTCCCCTGGCAGCTCCGGGAGCAGCTCCAGGCTGAGACCTCTCTCCACTGGCGATGGCTCTGGGAGAGCTGGGTGCTGTGGGATCTGAGCACAGGACAAGGACAGGGACAGGAGCACAGGACAAGGACAGGGACAGCTGCCAGGACAAGGACAGGGACAGCTGCACAGGCTGTGCAGCAGCTCCTCCCAGCTGGTGTTCAGCTGTCCCACGTCAGCGGTTCCCAGAGCATTCATCTGTCATCAGGAATCTTCGCTCTTCCTGTAAAAGCACCCACTGGAATTACAGTCTGGGCTCCTCCAAGGTCTGATTTTCCATGACAATAGTCTGCTGTTCAGCTGCTGTGCCTGGCAGAGGTGGGACAGTGCTCAGATCAAACCTCAGTGAGCCGTGTCTTTGTTGGTGCCGACAGCACCGATGCAAAACACGCCCCAGTAGCTTATGAGTGAAATACAGATCTGACTTCAAAGGCAGCTGAAGTCCTGCTAGAAGGGCTGGGAAGAGAGGAGAAAACCCACATTCATATTTATCTCAAGGTCAGCAGGTGATAGCCCAGAAACAGGATACAGGCAGAAGTAAAGTAGAATTTGTACTTTTCCTGACAGAGCTATGAGTGGCTACAATGTTATAAAAAGTAATTGAAATTACAGCTAGAATTTGTATGGATTTTGCATTAGCTGTGGTCGTGTCTCACATTTCATGGGGGAAGGCAGAGCCGTTGTGTGCTCAGATGCTCCACAGCTGGGGTTGTGTGTTGGATCCAGCCCGAGGCTGCGGGTGCGGGTTGGCTCGGACTGACTCAGTGCAAGGGCATTTCTGTGGGGTTGCAGAGCTGTTGTCTTGTTAAAAGCAACGTCCAAAGCAAGGGTGATGCTCCCGGACAGTTCTGCTGCACCAACGTCTGTTTTCTCTTGGTACTTGTCGTTTTTAGGGTAAATGTTCTGTTTTGAGCGTTTCTCATTTTGACAGGGAAAGACTAAGCTGAAGGTGAAATGACAGGAGGAATTGTAGACTCACCACCTCTCCCTTGCTTTGCTGTTAGTGACAGCTCTGTTGTAAAGTCTCTCCACCCATGGATTGGCCAGCAGCCCTTGCTGCTTGAAATAGGAGGAGGCTTCTGGATTTCCCCCTCGACTTCTCTGCAGTGTAGCAGTTCTTGCCAGGAGTTCAGACTGGAGAAATTGTCCAAAACCATTTCAGCTCCGCCGAGGCGTGCCTGGAGCTCGGCTCACGGGGAGAAGGTGGTGGTTGTCTCTGTCTCCATGGCGAAGGAGGTCCTCTTGCTGTCGCGGCAGGAGGTGAGCTGCCAGAGGCGCTCCTGGCTCAGGCAGCCCAGCTCCTTCAGCAGCTTGAAGAGGTCGGTGCGGAATTTGACGCCGATGAAGGCGTAGAGGAACGGGTTGAGGCAGCATCGGAAGCAGGCCAGGGTGTAGGTCACGTCATCTGCCACGTCCAGCTTCTTGCTCTCCTCACATGAGCTGGTCTGGTTGAAGACTGAGATGGTCTTGGCCAGCATGACTCCGTTGTAGGGCAGCTGGAAGACGACAAAGACGATGACCACGGCGATGATGACCTTGATGGCTTTGTTCTTCTCAAAGTTGCGGGCCTGGAGTAACGTTTTGATGATGATGAGGTAGCAGAAAGACATGACCAGCAGGGGAATTAAGAAGCCAAACACCATTTGGGACACTTTGATGCTGGTGTTGAAGGTCTGCAAGTCATTAGCAATGATGGAACACCGGGGATTGCTCTCTGAGTTGTTCACACCACTGTGAACCAGCTCAGGGATGGAGAGGATGAAGGCCAGGAGCCAGATGAGGCCGCAGGTCACCTTGCTGATGAATATCATGCGGGGACGCAGGCGATGGGCTGAGGCTGCCTGGACGATGGCGAAGTACCTGTCGATGCTGATGGACAGGAGGAGCAGCATCCCGCTGAAGAAACTCATTTTGCAGATGCAGTAGACAGCTTTGCAGGCCAAGCTCCCAAAAAGCCAGTGCGTGGCCGCGCTCGTGGCCCAGAAGGGAAGGGTCAGCAGGAAGAGGATGTCTGCCACAGCCAGGTTCAGCAAGTAGATGTCTGTCATGGTCTTCAGCCTCTTGAAGTAGATGTAGGTGAGCACGACCAGCCCATTCCCCAGCAGCCCCATGAGGCAGATGATGCTGTACATGGCCGGGAGGAAGGCAGCACGGAAGTTTCGGACCTCCTCCTTCTCACACAGGGACTCGAACATGCTGTAGTCAATGGTGCTGTTGGAGTCGTAGTAATCAGTGACATTGTCCCCGGCACAGAACTAGAAGAGGAAAGAGAAGAAGAGGGTGTTGGGACAAGGACCGTGTTGCCTGTGTGGCTGTGCAAGGAAAGGAGCCTGGAGAGAAGTCCCAGGGAGTTCCCAAGTTCTGTCTCATGCCAGCATCACAAACAGAGCTGACACAACCTTGTGGCTGAAAGTGTTTCCTATAAATATGTGAGGTTTGGGGCTTTTTTGGGGGGCTCCAAGTGGGAATTCCACCAGAAACGTTTCGTGCTCAGCCAAAGTAACATCTGCAAGCCCTCAGATGTGTGGCAGCTTTCCAGAGTGACCCACCTCCAGCTGCGTGTGCACAGCCAGCTGTCAGATAAAATGTGAGAAATAAAACATCCTTGAGCTAAATGAAAAACCAACGAAGGTGCTGGTGAGACCGTGAGGAAGTGCAGTGACTGCAGCAGGAAGCTGTTTCCGTGTCGGGCCGGCATCTCATTCAGGCCCCTGATTTCAGTTCTGATTATTCTTGTTTCATCTTCCTACACTGCCATAACCCGCGGGGCAGACAGAGCCTGCGGTACCTGTGCCCTGCTTTTTGTCACTTATTAATCTCCAGAACCTTCTCCCCATCGCACAGACATGAAAGGTTTCCCCTGGATACCCCCACCCTTTAACAGAGAGCATCTCGGTGCTCTCCATCTCAGCAGGTTTGGCTTTCACCACATCCTGCTGGGTTGCCAGCAGTGAAAGGGAAAAGCAGGGGCTGCTTGGCTCTGTCCCAGGTGGCCCCACGGGCTGGGGGTGGCCACTGCAGCCGAGGGACCTCGGGCACCAGGACCAGCCCCTGGTTTGGGAGCAGGTCATGGCACAGCTCCGTGCTTGGGGCCCTCCTTGCTGGGCCAGGGCACTCTGAGCACCAGGCAGGGGAAGAACTGAACTCTTCCTCCTCGGGTGCATCCCTCTCCAGCTCTGGGCTTGGTCAGAGCCCAGCACCTTGACCAGGAATTTGCAGGGAGCAGGAACTGGCTGCTCCCTGCCATCAAGGTGGTGCACTCCTGTCTGTCCTGGGAATGCTCATTTTGGGGCTAAGAGTGGACTCACACAGCCCAGGCCATCTGAAAATCACTCTGTTTTTCACCACTTTTCTCTGCTTGGTTTTGTTTCTCTTGTTTGTTTTCTTCTGTAGCTGGGCTCTGCTCTCACCTCCCACCTCCCACAGCTGGATCCTGGGGTGAGCAGCTGAGTCCCCACACATTTCTGGGACTGTGGGTGGCTGCCCTGAGTTTTTGAGATCTCCCTTTACCCACAACACAAAGCAGCTGGATTTCAACAATGTTGTCAAAAACATCTCACCTGAAAAACGAACGGCAGGCTGAAAACAAGGGTGACCTTTAGCTGCTTGCCTAGGGAAGAAGGAGATGTAGAGTTAGTGGCTGAGTGGGGGTTTCCACACGGTTCTTACTTTGAAAAAGTAGTGGGTAATGCTGTCCATGGCACTGTGAACCCTGCAGAAGCCTCACCACTGAGGAAACCAGAACCTGGGAAAGATGCCAGGGAGATAACCCAGGGTCATGGGCGTTACTGTCAGAGCACTGCTGGAGTCTCAGCAGTCCGGCCCCTCTGGCTCACGGATCCATGGAACACCTTGGGTTGGGAGGGGTCTCTAAAGGTCATTCAGTCCAACCCCTGCAGTGAGCAGGGATGTCTTCACCCAGACCAGGCTGCCCAGGACCCCGTGCAGTGAAGGCTGAGAGCTGAGGACTCTAAACTCAGGCACTGTGCGCTCATTTTGATTTTATTTTGATTTTATCCATTACTTTTCCCTGCAGGAAGCCAGCAGCTTTTTCTCTGGTGTCTGAGCAGGGAGGGTGCAGCTCAATCCGTGTGAAAATCCCCAGCTGTGAGGGCCATAAATCTGGCCCAGCTGTGCCCGTGTGGTGCCTGGGCTGTGGAGAGGCGAGCTCAGCTCCCCGTGGGACAGACAGAACTGGAACTGGCTGAAATTTATTGCTTGTGTCTAAATGTCAAGAGTTGGCTTCTGCTGCCTTGGGATGTGAAAATATAGGATGCTGACAGCTGGGAGGAAAAACTGAATTTAGAGCCAGGTATGGTGAGAGAGCAATCTCAGCAGAGCAGCTCTTCCTGCTGTGGTTAGCAGGGCAGGGGCCAGGGAAAGCTTTCTCCTCACTGGTTTTACAGCTCGTACCAGCATCTACCTCAGGCAGCTGCCACTGAAAGTTGTTCAGCTGGAAGGTGGCAGTGAGACAGCCCTGAGCTCCACTCTGGTGTGAGGAGGAGATGTGTCCCTCCCTGAGGGGTGCCTTGGCCAGGATGTCCCTGGGTGGTCCCTGCAGCCCCTCACTCCCTGTGGGTTTTCCGCTCCGGGGGTGCTCAGCAAGGGGATACCTTTGGTTTTCAGCTGCCTGCTCCTCCTAGAACTCTGCCTGGTTGTTCATGAATGTGCTTAGTGTCTGCTGGACTCAGCTATGCTTGGTTTCAGTTTTGTGCCAGGCTCCTGCTCGTGTTGTGCTGCACCAGGATGATGAACTTCTACCACAGCAACTGCACCAAGTCCCTGTGTTAAGTCACGTGCAACAGCTTCACTAATATCAGAGAGAGTCACCTGTGAGTGGGGATGTTTTTAGTACCTGAGGGTGATGTGTGGGTCAGAGAGATCCTCAGCCTGGGAAATTCATAGTGCTCATCCCCAGGCCTGTGTGAGTGCCTCCCCTGAGGTCTCCTAGATGCTCTGTCTCACCTTCCCCCCTTATTTTCATCTCTGATGCTCATGCAGCTGTGTGCTCAGTTGTGTTCATCCTCCCTTTACCTTCTCCCAACCCTCCTGGGGGTGTCTGAGGGGTTCCCATGGGACCCCTTAGTGCAGGTGACTCAGGAATGGAGGAGTGCAAGGCAGGGACTGAGGGTGAAGTGAAGCTTCTGGCTGTTCTGTTCAACCAGTGACTTTCCCTCTGATCAGACCCAGACTGCAGGAAGAGGTTTGGTGTCTGCTGTGGTGTCACCTCTTCAAACTGCTGCCCCTCGTTTTGTATATGATACAGGAAATACACTAAAAGTCCCAAGGACTGGGACCCACTAGGTGGCTTTAAGCCAGCTGTAACTCCCTTCCTGCCTGGGATACAAAGTCCCTAACTCTGCAAACACCACAGCAGCCTTCATCCTTCTGCTGCACCTTCTAAATATCCTGGTTTCCCTGGGACTCCTGGGGCTGGTGCTCCTGGCTGCCTGGGGATGGGTGATGAGTACCTGTGCTGGAAACTCAGCCCCACCAGGAAAATACCCCTGTGGCTGCTGGATAAGAGGCAGAGAAGAACCACCCTCATTCCATGGAGGAAAAGCACCCATGTAAACCAGACTCCACCACCTCTCTGTGGCTTGGATTGCAAGCTCCAGGTCCAGCCCTGATTTCACCTGACCAGCCCCAGCCCCAGCCCTGGTGAGGGCTCCTTTGCTCTGTTCTGTTTTCTTATCACCCTGTGACGGTCTAGAAAAACAGGACTGAGAACGTGACTCAACCAACTCCTGAAACAGTTCAGCCCATATCATTCCTTTGAAGATCATCAGAGGTTTCTTTTTTCTCCCCCTTCTCAGTTGCTGTTTCAACTGTCTTAAATGTCAAATGACTTTTCAATATGAAGAAAGCCCGTGCTGTTTCTGCCCCTCTTCTGTGCCCCCACCTCAGATTACACATTTGCAAAAGCACAACCAGAGAGGCCCTGATGCCTCCTGCTCCCTCTGTGCCAGTTTGAGCACGTTTGTGTCACTGGTTCCAGTCAGACTGGACAGGACTTGCATGTCCCCAACTTGTCTTGTGGTCTGGGCCAGTGGGCAGAAGCAATTATAATGACACGAGCCTTGCTCTGCAGTTTATCAGGCAGTTTAGGTACATTTCTTTACTTTTTCTTTCCTTTTTACACCTCCTGGCAGTTGGCTGCTGTGGGTATTTCCTTAAAGTTTTTAAAAGTTTTGTTCCTCAAAATATTGAGGGAAAAAAACCAAAAAACAAAAAAACCCACCCTCTCAAAAGTCCCTGCAGCCAGTTGAACTAGAAACCTCATTTATAAAAATACACCAAAACCCCACCACAGCAGATGAGTCAGCCTGGCCCTACAGCCCCGTGGCAGCCCCGGTGTGTCTCAGCCTGGGACGTGCTGGTTTGAGGCTATTCCTGTCCTGGAGGACCTGGAAACAGCTGGAAAGGGGAATTCCTCCACGGGAGTGAAGGAAGGAAGGGGTCTGTTCATGACAGGGCATGGGAACCCCTCAGTTTTACAATCTTCCTCCACAGAGTAAGCCCAAGGTGGGATTCATCCCTTGACAGATGTTGAGCTGTTCAGGATCCCTCAATAGCAAAGAGAAAGAAACAAGTGTTTTTAAGCCCCAGTTTGGGTACCTGGGGTGGGCACCTGGGGCAGAAGGGGGGTGACTTTGGACAGGCAGATCCCTCCCAGCTCATCTGGATCTCCCTCAGCACCAGCTGCTAAATGTGAGCAAGGTAAGAGCAGCTGCAGGGGCAGAGAATCCCACCAGGTGCGCCCAAAAAGGCCTCTGACAGTGCAAGAATTTGGTGTCAGGACATCTGCCTGGAAGAGGAGAGAGACACAGCCCTGAGGGTGATTAATCACATCACACAAATGGCCAGGGCAGCTCCTGAGGGTCTGGCTGCTGCTGAAGCAGAGGGAGGCACGAGAGCAAAGCAGGAGCTGGGAATGCTTTAGGGATGAGATGCAGGAGAGCAAAGCAGGAGCTGGGAATGCTCTAGGGATGAGATGCAGGAGAGCAAAGCAGGAGCTGGGAATGCTCTAGGGATGAGATGCAGGAGAGCAAAGCAGGAGCTGGGAATGCTTTAGGGAGCACTGGCAAAGCTGAGCAAACCTGCTCTGGCCAAACCCTCGTGGTGGGTGAATGTTTTTTGGCCACCTGGGATTGCAAAGCCAAAGTTCTGGCCTCAGCACACGTGCAGGCAGTGATTAACGTGCTCTCTGTATGTTATACATGTACCAGCTCCCTGTGCCCCTTCTCCAGCAGCACAGGAGGCTTTTGGGGAAAGAACCAGATATTTCTGAGAAAAGTTAATCATACTTAAGTGATCTAATGACTATTGGCAGTTACCAGCCTGCTCTGCCCCCTTCCCCTCCTCATAACTGGCAGAGGAAAGACACTCTCATCTCAGGAGTGAGTGGAGCCAGTGAAACCCAGTCATGCTCTTATTTCGTGTGTTCACTGATCTATCACAGAAGAAAGTTAATAATTATCGACCTTCACTCCTTTCAGGAAACTGTGAATCAAAAGATGAGATAAGCAGAGAGAAGCAAATAAAAAATTTCCTGCAGAAGTGAGCCAGGTGTGTTTTAAAGAAAGCACCACGGTGGTGTGTCTTCCAGGAAAATGAAATATTCCTCTGAAATACAATAGTAGAACAAAAAAAAACCCCAAAGCAGGAACATTATCATAATCTGTCACGTCCTCATTAACTCCTTATTTTCCCTGTCCTGATTAACCTTTCCCAGGAGCTAAGTTCAGCTGCCCCCAGACACTGAACCCCGTGGAACAAGCAGCCCACAAAGCACCCAGAGGATGATGCAGAAGCCAAAAGTTTAAATGAGAGGAATGATGTGTGATGGGCAGGTCCACTTTGGTGTTTGTTTGGATGCAGGGATTCCAAAATCCAGGAATTTCCTAAGCCATTGATTGCCAGAGGCTCTGAGGAGAAAGAAAACTCCCTCAACTCATACACTGCTCCTGCCTGGAGGGTCCTGAGGGACCTGCCCCCTCTTTTCCCTGCATCCCCATCTCTGGAGCATCCTGCATCCCTGGAGCATCCTCAGAGCTTCCTTTATTCCCCAGAACTTCTTTCATCCATCCCCCTGACCATCTCCAGAGCCTCCTGCATCTCCAATGCATCCTGCTTCCTCCAGTGTTCCTGCAGATGTTTTAAAATAGAAATGACTCGCAAAAGACTGGATGGACTACGTGGAGCATCTCAGCTCTTCTTCTCCCATTTCCTCAATTGATTCACTGAATTAAAATGTTGCTAGGGAGAGTGTTCTCTCTCTCTCTCTCTCTCTTTTTAAAATTAAGAACACAGAAGAAAAGGTGTGAATTATGCAAGATTCCATTTGCTTCAGAACAAAAAGGCCCCTTAAAATTGCCTCCCAACCTCTTTTTGGTATTTGTTTCTGAAGTGATTTGAGGTTTTCGAGCTTCTAAAACAGAACTGTGTTTTTTTTTTTTAATAGTAAAAATGAGGAAGATGAAAGTCTTTAATGTTGTTTGAATACTCTAATAGAAGTGCTCCACTCCTGTGTCACAGGACAGGGACTGGGCATCATTAATAAAGATGAAGACACAGCCCAAGCTGCAGCCCAGGTACTCACCCCCATCCATGGTGTGGTTCCAGCAGGATCCGGTCACAGAGGTAACGAGAGCATCACCCACTCCAGCTCTGCCTCCCCAGCTCCTGCCAGGGACCCTCCTCGGGGAACTCTGCTTTTATACTTCCTGCACCCCTGTGAGGAGCTCACAGGCACCCTGATGTCACTGGCATTCAGTAGACCCTCCTCCTCCTCCTCCTCCTCCTTCTCATGTGTTCAGAGCTGTGCTGAACTCTCGGGGTGCTCAGGTGCTGCCTCGGGGTGTTCTGCACACCCAGAGCTGTCACTGACACCTGGGGAAGTGAAGAGGGCTCTGATTTTGGACTGACACGTGAGGAATGGTCTGTGGTGAAGGAAACAGGGGAAGGAGGCTCTTTCTTACCTCCCCACTCCAGCAAATCCTGCTTCCTCTGTGGAGCCCTCAGTGCCAGAGGAAACAGAGCATCCCATCCCATCCCATCCCATCCCATCCCATCCCATCCCATCCCATCCCATCCCATCCCCCAGACCTGTTTTGGGAAAGGTGTTCAGGATGAAAATCTCAGTGCACAGAACTGCCCATGACCCATAGCCCATTGTCCTTCTCCCTCCCTACGCTGTCAGCAGCTCGGTGACTTCTCCCCTTTCTCTTTCTGGGTATTTTTGTCTTCCCCAAAAGGCCCTGCACTTTGTCAGTGTCATGCCTTCCCCCAAGGCAAAGCAGTGGCTTTTGTTTGGTGGATGTCAGGGCTTTGCTCTTGGAACAGACCTCTCAGATAGAGGGGTTGTTTCTCAGACAGAAATGTCTCCAGCTCCTCACAAACTCTCTTTTTTCCTGAGCCAGGCTCCTCTAGAAGTGATGCCTTTGGCATCTTTTCCTCTCTGTCTTACCCTATGTCAGTGCTGTTACTGCAGCCAGGTGGAAAAATAGGGCACCACAGGATGGAATCCCAGCTCAAATTAAATATAGCTGAAGCTGGGGGTAGTTTTGAGGTTCCTGTGAGTTGTCTTAGGTCCTTTTTGAAGACTCAGATCCAGTTTCAGACCCTCCCTCAATACAGTCCCAGCCTGACTCCAAATCCTTCCCAGTGCTGGTGTGGTTCTGAGCCCATTCTGGGGTGCTCAGGGAACAGCTGGGGGTACTCAGGATCAGGATTTTGGGGTTTTTGGGGGCAGGGGAGCTGTGGCAGTTTTCCTCTGCTCACGCAGGTGACCCTCCCTCGCCTCGGCGCCCTCGAGAGCGCGGCACCGACTCCTCCGCACCTCGCCCGGCGCTTTATCTCAGCCAGCAGGTGCTGTTCACATCTCTGCAGCTATTTATTGCTCTGTTTGCCTTTGCTCATCAGGTATCCAGGCAGGTACTCTGCCTCGAGAGCTTTATCTCGTAACCACTTCCGCCAAGGGGGACCTGAGATGAAAGACTTCCCTTGGGTAGCAGCAGAATACGCGGAATCGAGGGGTGGAACAGAGCCTTCACACGAGGTCACAGCTCTGCCCGGGGAGCTGGGGATGTGCAGGGGGGGCCCTCGGGGTGCTCTGTGCTCCCCCTGCTCCAGGGAGGGGCACCAGGCAGAGTTCTGGTGGATCCATCCCCATGTCCACGCTGGCTGAAGCCGAAGGTGAGAGAGGGGAGGCAGGCAGGTGGTTTGCAGTTTGTTTTCTGCACGTGGTCCCAAGATTCAGCTTCAAAGTTTTGGTACGTGCCAAACTCTGTGGTGTTAGAGTCCGTTCAAGCAAACTGTTTTTCTTAAAAAGAATGTGAATATTTAAAATGGGGATATTTAAAAGGGGAATATTTAAAATAAACAATTTGTCTGTGTATGACACCAAACTTCTTATGCAGTCACGTTTTATACCCAGGGAGTTCTCAGAACATTTATTAAATCTTTGCTTAATTTGATTGTGTATATTTGCAGCTTATTGCCCGAGTGATTCCATCTGTTTGACACATTGCCTGAACTTGGGTGCCCCATGAGCTGCTCTTCACAAAACTGTGATCCAAACTCAGACAGTGCCAGGCCTGAGCTGTGCCCATGGAAGCCTGTGCTACTAGAACCTATTTGTTATTCCAAAGTTAATTAACTGCATAAAAATAATCAAATTACCAGATATTCCAGTCTCTGGGTGCTTTTGTTCCCTTCCAGCACCCAGGAGAGTGGAAGTCAGTGATTTAAACCTGCTGCCCTGGCTGCAGCAGGAGCTGGGTGGCAGCTTTCAACCATAAACTTTTCAAAGAAAATGCAGCTCCTGATAAATTGCACAGGAAGTTGCTCAGGGAGATTTTGGTTCAGTTCTCATTGGTTCCACTTGAACTGAAATATTGAGCTGAACTGAACTGAACTGTGTAATCCTGGATTGTCCTGATGTTAAATTGAAACTCACTCAGCAATGGAACATCGCAAGGAAGTTAGCTCTGAGTTTGCCATCCCTGGCCTGTGTGTAAAACTGGAATTCCTGTGGGATGTCCAGGAATTCCACACAGTCTCACAGACATCCTGAGGTGGGAAAGATCCCAGAGCTCCAGGAGAGGGTTCTCAGGCACCACATCCAGGCTGGGGGACCTTGGAAATCAGAACTCAGGGCTTTGCCTAAGGAGATGGAATTCTGTCTGAGAGAAGCACAACATGGGATGTTCTTATGTCCTGGATTCAAAACTTGTTCATATTTTCCACCGGTTTTGCTTTAGCTGATTTGAGATGGAAACACCAGCTCTGTCCCCCTGTTCCCCCCTTTGGCTGCCATGAGCCATGGGAAGGTTTGTCCCCGTGGCTGGAGGAAGCCAGGGGTGCCCAGACAGAAGCGTTGGTGAGTTCAGGGTGGCCCGTTCCCAGCTGTTCTTCCCAGTCACATCCCAGCAGTGACATCAGGGAGGGACCCTGACGTCTGCCCTGCTGCTCCCTCTGCCTGGCAATGCCAGCCTGAGGTGCCTGGGATCTCCCAGCTCTGGCCCTGCCCCTGCCCAGACCCCTCCTCTGACGTCTGGGGACATCCAGGGGGGTTTGTGGTGGAAGTCAGCAGGGTCACTCCGGGGGGGTGCTGACGTTATTGTTCCTCAGGCAAATGTAAAATAGCAGAAGTGAAATCATGAGTAAATTCCTGTCCTTAAGAGTGGCACCAAGCTGGGATTCCTCACCCAGCAGAGTTCTTTGAGCAGGTGTAGGGGGTGCCCTGAGAAATGTCTCATGATTGTGATCTCACCACCAGGTTATTAACAGATCCTTATCTCCCAGAGGGAGGAAGCAATCTGTGCAGTGCCAGGCTCTGATTGGGATGCACAGCTGCCCATGGTGTCAGCCAGAGCAAAGAAAGGCACACCCAGTGTCACCAGGAATTCACCTGCTTTGTGCCCACATCATGTCCTAAGTGATGGCCTGGCTCTCCAGTTCTTTTTTTGAGGAAAAAGAAAAGATTTACCAAATTGGCATCTGCCCTTCACTAAGCAGGTGGACATCAGCGAGAATTTCTTCATGGGCAGGGTGGTCAGGCTTGGAAGGGGCTATCCAGGGAGGTGCTGGAGCTCCCATCCCTGGAAGGGTTCAGGGAACACTTGGATGTGGCATTCAGTGCTCTGGTCTGGTTGGTGAGGTGGGGATCAGTCACAGGTTGGACTTGGTGGCCTTGGAGGTCTTTTCCAACCTAAATGACTCCATGATTCTATTCCATGAAAGCAGCACCAACTGTGTCTAGAGATGGTTTGTGCAAAGTGCTGGGCAATTCCCACAGGATATCAAACACTAGTGAGCAGTGAATCATTTAGAGACATAACAAGATATGGTTTAGGGAGATAAAGGGATATTGATTAAAGAGATAAAGCGTTATGACCCTTAAAAATAGTTGAGAGTTGAAGTGTCCCTGACCATCCAGCATCACTCCTGTGAGCTGTGTTCCCTTGTTCAAAAGGTGGAAGGTTTAACACCAATCTGCTGCTGCCTTTAGATGAAAACTGGATCTAGAAACTGGAAATAATCCCATCTGTGTTTGCTCCTAGAAGAGCTCATCCATCCCTCTCTGTTACAGATCTGGCATTTCTCATCCCTGGGGTTAAAAAGATTGTAATAAACCCATGATAATGTGACTTTTCACTTGGTTTCTGTTGTTACTGTCACTCTTTCTGGTTTGGCTTTCCCCACCCTGAAACTGGTGCCAGAACTAAAATGGCTTTTTCTTGACTTTTTAACAGAGTCGGGTGATAAAAGCAGATTTCAACTGGTTGTTGACAGAAATTACTGACTTCTGGAGTCACAAGTGAAGCTTTACGTGATGATTTACAACAAAATAAGACACCAGCCCGATACGCGCGAAACCACTTCAAAAAACCCCTCGAAGACTGTGGAAAAAAACGTCAAAGTGAAAGAAGGGAACTGAGAGCACAAACAGCAAGACAGACCCGAAGCAGGATCTGGGCTTTCAGACTCGAGTGCCTGATCCCACTTGGTCATCAGGTCCTGCTGGCAGAGGTTTGCCAGTCGCTGTCAGTAGCACTCTGCATGCACACGGGATTTCAAACCCAGAGATCCAAGCCCTGGGTTCAAAGCCTTGGGCAGGTGCTGCAAATCCTCGGAGGCACGAAAAGTCTTGGCTGTAAGAGTCCAGGATGAAACTGGAACTTGCTGGGTGCCTGCCTGGGAGAACTCGTGGAATTCCAGCCTCTCTGAGTAGCTGGCATGATTAACCCCCCACTCCTGCAGTGCAGCACCTGCAGTTCACATCCAGGAGCCTGGAGAGCTCAAAGCTGCAGGTGAGTGACCTGTGAGCATCTCACCCTGATTTGGCAAACTGGTACAAATGCCTCACACTGTGAGCTGGCACAACTGCATCTCACTCTGAGCTGGTGCAACCAGCAGCTCTCAGGGTGAGGGGAGTTGAACCCTCTTATTTTGTTGTAAATCATTATGTGAAGCTTCACTTGGCACTCCAGAAGTCAGTGATTTCTGTCAAGCCCTGAGCATGAGCTGCCACGCCTGCTGCTGCTGCTGGCACTGACAATCCTGCACAAGAAAAGCACTGCTCACATTTACAGCCAAGGCCAGGGCGGTGTGTCCTTCGGGCAGGTGGATGGGGACTCCTGGTGGCAGTGCCTGCTGCAGCTCACACACCTCTGCCG